ATGACACAGGCAAGGCTTTTAATCAACGAACTGGTGTAATACTAGAAGCGATCTAAAAATTTGTTAGCAGTATAAAGTGCGTTCACATTCCTTATTTCATTTGATTCTTAGCATAACCCTACAGCGTAGGGAAGAGTTATTATCTCCAAAAAGTTTACACGAGGGCTTCCCTGGTGGCGCAGTGGTTAAGAATCCGCCTGCCAATGCAGGGGACACGGGTTCGAGCCCTGGGCCAGGAAGATCCCACATGCCGCGGAGCAACTAAGCCTGTGCGCCACAACTACTGAGCCTGCGCTCTAGAGCCCGTGAGCCTAGAGCCCGTGCTCCGCAACAAGAGAAGCCACGGCAGTGAAAAGCCTGCACACTGCAACGAAGAGTAGTTCCCGCTCGCCACAACTAGAGAAAGCCCGCACGCAGCAACAAAGACCCAGCGCAGCCAAAAATAAAAAATAAGTAAATAAAAATTTTACACAAGAAAAGAGAAGCTCAGAGGACCTACATTAATTTGTTTATGGTGACTTGACTATGGCAGAACCTAAATTGAATCCCTATTTTTCTGATCCCTAGCCTGGTACTCTTTCAGCTATACCTACAATGATTTAGGTAATAATATACCTAATAAGTATTACATTACTATCTAAAAGTAAGGAACACTATTGACTCCACTTCAAAAATTCTCACTAAGTGGCTTTCAAGCCTCACTTAAACTATCAAAAAAAATGTGCTCAATAAATAAAATCGAAGTTACTGTTTTAATGAATATTAAGTACACAGTGTGCTAGGTACTAAAGAGTCCCTTTTACTATTTGAAACTCTAGTTTGGGATGACCTTTCTGAAATACCGTCACATCTTTCCTCACACCAGTGAAGAAAAACAGAGCCACAACAGCTGGTTCCACTTTCCTGACCTCCCACTTACACTTGCCAACCAGAGTCCTTGGTTGAAATAAACCAGGTAGGCAAGGACTAGACAAAAACATTTTTTATTCATATTTGACTACTGTATGCACTTACAGAATTCTCCCAAGTACCATTATAAAATGTATAACAATATAATTTGTGATTATGTAAATCTTGGCAAAGCAATATTTAAACAAAGGTAGTTAATAAGTAACCAAAGAATTACAGAAGGCAGCATGATAAGGTACCTGAGTAAGAGTCAGGCCATGGCATAACTGACTGCCACTTACTATCTTGGTGGTTTTGGTGAAGGCCTTCAATTTCTGTGAACCTCAAACACCTTACCCATAAAACAAAGTTATGAGAGTAACTTGTAGATGAAAATGACACTCTGAAGGACAAAAATCTTTTCAAAAAGCAGAGACATAGTTGGGTAATATAATTAGCAGGTAACTTTCAACCTCAAAATAACTTTATAAGTTGAAAAGCAGTGGTTTAAACAAGCTAAAAACCTAGAAACAGTTCAAAATAGACTCTAAAAGAGAAAAAACCCCAAACACATTAAACAATTTTCCCCCCAGAATTCTAGACCACAAGCATCTACATTGTAAAAAAAGAAGGCATGATTAGGATATGTGATCTCAAAGAACTTTTAGTCCAAACACAGGGAGATAAGATAAGCACACAATTATAGATGACTATGACAGAAAAGAATAATTGCCAGAAAAGAGATACCAACAAGGAAAGAGCAATAGCTGGCATGGAGCCCACAGAGCAAGGGGGTAATTGTTATATAATGTGGGTTATTTCAGTATCAGCTATATACTACTAATCAGAGCCACCCCCCCCCAACTGTAGTTGAAGTACAGTAATAAGAAATCAGCTTAGAGGATTCACAATTGAGATTTATGAAGATGAGGATTTATCTATTTAACAAATAGATCCCCCAAGTTGAAGGTGATACGCAAAAGGCCAAATCTGATGTAGGAAAGAAAGACTGAGGTAGCAATGTACAATAAATTGAATGACTATCAAGGTCTAACTATGTTGCTATTTTGTTTGCTTCTCTCCATATAAAATACCATTTAAAAAGACTGAGACTGGGGCTTCCCTGGTGGCGCAGTGGTTGAGAATCTGCCTGCCAATGCAGGGGACACAGGTTCTCGAGCCCTGGTCTGGGAGGATCCCACATGCCGCGGGGCAACTAGGCCCATGAGCCACAACTACTGAGCCTGTGCGTCTGGAGCCTGTGCTCCGCAACAAGAGAGGCCGTGATAGTGAGAGGCCCGCGCACCGCGATGAAGAGTGGCCCCCGCTTGCCACAACTAGAGAAAGCCCTGGCACAGAAACAAAGACCCAACACAGCAAAAATAAATTAATTAATTAAAAAGAAAAGTACCAATGTCACCGTGGATGTGAGGATTAGTCAATGCTTTTGAAAAAAAAAAAAGACTGAGACATAACAATATAGTAAAAGTGTCTAGCCTGATGAATTTTTACATATGCATATATCCGGGGAACTACCACACAGATAAAAATACGGAACATCTCCAGCCCTCTCTCATCCTCCCACAAGGTACCACTGTGCCCCTCCCAACCAATGCTGCCTGACAAACTAGATAACCGGCATTCTAATTTCTACCACCGTACCGTTTTTTTTGAGTCCATAAACATTTTGAAACTAAGAAGAATAAGTTGTAACATCTTGAGTCAAATATTCCATTATTTCATCATGATTTAGTAATAGTTTATTATATATTGAGGCAAAAGACTAAAGATTACTTAAAAACAAAAACAAACGCCCCCCCCCAACCCATTCCCCAAATAAGTTGCTAAAAATAAATCTGTTGATATTTGAAGATGCTGGTAACAGAGTCTGAAGTAAACTTTTAAACCGAATCTATTTTCAGGCTTAAAATGTGACCACAGCCTGGCTGAATCTAATATAAACACACACATTCTTTTTAACGTCAAAACAAGCCTAAGCCAGTTTTTAGTTCTTTCTCTTTGAAAGTTTAATGATCTTTTGAAGCTGTCTGCCACCAAGTACCTCAAACCAAATGGGGTCAAGTAGATGGTAATCAATTACAATAGTTCAATCTGAGAGTCCAGGACATTTCATCTGAGAGCAAGGAGGGACTAGGAAGCTATCTATATAACAACAACCCAAGAAGCTTTAAGAGACATTAGTATATATCTCCTTCCAGCACTGTTGAGACCACATGGAGAGCACCTGCCCCGCTTCAAGCACCAAGCTTGTTCAGTCATCCGAGGGTGATGTGAAGGACGAAGGAGAGGTAAAAGTAAGAGAAAAGGAAGGAATGGGAGCTGATATGCTATGTAACCTTAGGGCAAGTTACAAAACAACTGTAAGTGTCGGTTTCCTTGTGAGGATTAAATAGGGTGAAATACAGTCATACAAATGTATCATACATATTACTGGTATTTTTCATAGTTCCTCTATTATTAAGTATTAGTAAGGGGGATAAAGGTATCATCAGAACATAAAAGTAAATTGGTTTGATGCCACTCAAAAAATTCAGTTACCAGAAAGACTGGAGTGTATGTTAAAAGATGCCATTTCAAAAGCCAGGGAAGACTTATATGAGGAATCTAAAAAAGAATACAAATGAATCTATATACAAAACAGAAACAGACTCACAGACATAGAAAACAAACTGATGGTTACCAAAGGGGAGGGATTGGGGGGATAAACTAGGAGTATGGGATTAATAGATACAAACTACTATACATAAAATAGATAAGCAACAAGGATTTACTGTATACTCAATATCTTGTAGTAACCTATAACGGAATATAAAAAAACCCCAAAAAACCCCCCAGACCTAATGAATCACTATGCCGAACACCTGAAACACAATACTGTAAATCAACTCTACTTAAAACAACAAAAACAGTGAAGAAAATGGATTAGTCAGCAAATGGCATTAAAAAAAAATTGCTAACCACTTAGAAAAAAGCTCAGATTCCTATTTCATCCCTAAACCCAAAACAAATACAAGAAAGATTAAAGTTTTAATAGTCAAAACACAAAAGTACCAGAAAACAACAGCTAACTATTTTAAAATCTTGGAATGAAGGCCTTTCAGTGAATGACAAAATCGGAAGGACACCAGAGGAAAGCTGGATAATTTAAAATTCACAGCTTCTAAACAAAATAGGACTCAAAATTATAAAATAAAGAGGGAAAAAATTACCTATAACCTATTAGTTAGGGATAACTTACCTTATATAGAGAGATAACTCAAAAGAAAAAATGAGCAAAAAACATAAATAGGCAGCTCAAGAGAGAGACAGACAGACAAATATTTTAAAATAGGTCCAACATTATGAATAACTTAAAAAGCCGAGTAGGGAATTCCCCGGCAGTCCAGTGGTTAGGACTCCGTGCTTTCACTGCTGAGGGCACGGGTTTGATCCCTGGTCAGGGAACTAAGATCCTGCAAGCAGCGTGGTGCAGCCATTAAAGGGAAAAAAAAAAAAAGCAAAGTAAAATAAAGAGTGTAGTATTACATTCAATGTTGGCAAAGGCATGCAGAAACAGACATCAATACATCTGCTATTGGTGAAATTGTGAATCTTTCTTTGGAGGGCAACTTAGCAGTACCAATTATAATTGAAAATGTTCTTGCCACTTGATTAACATTCCACTTAATCATTCTACAGCAAAACTATGCAAGATACATGTACAAGAACTGTTTTTGAAGCCAAAAGATTGGAAACCACTTAAATGTTAATTGAGGGATGGTTAATTATAGTATACAGCCATCAAAAAGGAGGCACATCTCCATATGCTCACACAGAAAGATGTCCAAGATACACCAGGCCAGAAGACTATATTTTATGCTGTATTCCCAGTACCAAGAAAAATTGCCTGGCATACAGTAAGTACTTAATGTATTTGTTGAATGAGTGATCCAATAAATGGGATAGATAAACCATTCAGAAAACTATCAATTTAACAGCGATCCATAAGGGATAGGTTTACAGGGGGAGGGGGGTTCACAGTGTTTTATATTTGCTTCATTTTTTTTTTTTTTTTTTTTTTGGCTGCACTGCACAGGCTTGCCGAATCTTAGTTCCCTGACCAGGGATCCAACCAGGGCCCCCACAGTGAGAGCATGGAGTCCTAACCACTGGACCACCAGGGAATTCCCTGCTTTATTAAAGATGATTTATTATATTACCAATCAGAATATTTGCTTTATGTCTAAATAACCAAAAGTCCTATTTAAAGACAATTTATTTAATAAAAGGAAACAGGCTCAGAGAGGCTAAATGATTTATCCTCAAACCACACAGCTAGTGAGCAGCTCAACAGGGTCTCAAGCCCATCTTCTGATTCTTTTTTTTTTGATGTGGACCACTTTTAAAGTCTTTATTGAATTTGTTACACTATTGTTTCTGTTTTATGTTTTGGTTTTTTGGCCGCAAGTCATGTGGGATCTTAGCTCCCCGACCAGGGATCAAACTCGCACCCCGTGCGTTGGAAGGCGAAGCCTTAACCACTGGATTGCCAGGGAAGTCCCAGTCTTGATTCTTAAGTTCAGTGTTTTATCCCCTCAATCACTGATGCCTACCTAGAGAATAACTCTGTAGTAACCATATCCTATAGTTCACACACTTGGGTCAGCGACACAAAATCGTTTGCTGACCTTTATCCTAAGGACTTATTTTGCATTCTATATTACCCTAAGCTAAATATGGAATGATCAAAAGAGTAACTGTACATTACAATCCTGGCAAGTAACTGGAACCCAAAATATCTTAGATAAAGAATGGATTCTGCTAATCAGGAGAAATCTAAGATAAAAAACATTAAACATTCATTTTTGGCACAAATCTCAATACTGAGAGCCTATCTTCTACCTCCCAGTAATAATTTGAGTTCAAGGACAACAATAAAGGAAACCCACTCATTTCTATCTCTTCTGAAAGGGAAAAAGTATTTCATGAACAGTTAAGCCCTTAGGATATCTCCTAAAAATAGGACATAATTAAACACTCAATTTTTATGTACTATATAGCAAATGCCATGGTTAAGTCATTTATAGCACTTAAACCCAGAAAGTGTAATTTAAGCCAGTGTTTTTCAACCTTTTTTTTCATTATTGCCCCTGTAAGGAACCTTGTAGGACATTTTTTCTGATACCTTGATGAAATTCCTGTGTATTTGTTTATGCCTGCTATGTGCTTTAAACAGTTCAAAGAATAAGATTGTTTTCACACACACACCCCTCTGAGAACCAATTTTCACTCCCGCAGGGGCAGTATCTCCCATGTTGAGAATGCAAGCATGCGTAGCAGTAATATATGGTGGATTTTTGCTTCTTTCAATTCTAGAAATTTCCCCACCACCAAATTTAGTTGAAGAAAGTTTACAGAAAAGGTACAGAACCAAGTATGTGTTAAATATGTCTTCTGACATCTAATATCTATACTGCAAAATCAGGCTTTCCAAAGCTTAGTTATCTTGTTCCTAACTTGAGAGACTACTTTATCAAACTGTACACACTCTTTATAATTTAGAGATATGAAAAATATAACCCATATACCATTCCTTCCTTCACCTTTAAGATTCCTACCTCCTTTTTCACTGTCGTAGTGTGAAGCATCAAACTGAGCATCATCGTTAGGGAGCTGCACACTGGCTATCACAAGGTGGTTTTGTTCATCTGACGTGTGTGTCCCCAGGACAAGTCGATGAATACTGAAATCTTTCCCTTCTGGTCTGTAATAGGAATATATGGTCAGTATTCAAATCAGTACACTAAGAGAGACTACAAAGTCAGTGACATACATGTATGCACAAGGCACTATTACAACCAGGTTTTCAGAGGAAGAAGTCATTAAGAGCCATAGTTCCTACTTTTCACATATCTTCCATAGAGCTGAGTATAAGGACCACAGAACACTTAATTTCGTAATTATTTCTTAACTTAGCCAAATATTTACAATTACTTTGAGGAAAAAGTCTGATGGAATAAAATACGAATTAGCTACTCACCCTTTACAAGGAGTTGGAGGGAAAGAAAGCAATTGGTGGGTATACTACCACTTTAGGTTACTTCATTAGGTTAACGTCATTAAAAGGGAAAGGAAGTAACATCAGGTAAACTAACTGTTCAAATACTACTGAAGCACAAAGATGATTAAGATGTGATTCATATCCTCAAAAAACCAGGGACAATTAAACAGTCATATACACAAACATTTTAAACACAAGTCAACATATAATTCATGAAAAGTACCCAAGAACATGGAAATTTAGATATGAAAGATTAGTTCTGGAATAAAGGACACGTTCTTAGAAGAAGTGTTACCTGAGCAGGTCTCAAAATGAGAGATAATCTAGAAGAGGGGGACAAGGGCTTTGGAAGACAGTATTCTAAGGGAAGTAAGCAAAGGGAAGATTACAAAGTGCCAGACACCACGTTAAGCATTTCACATACCTCATATCACTTAAACACCATAACAACACTCTGAAGTACTATTCTAATTTAAAGATGGTTTGGGAAAATTAAGCAACTTGCCTAAGATCACAACTACCAACTAACAGAACTAGAACTGAAGTCCAAATCTGACTTTGAATGTGGGAAAGCAAAGTGAGAGAGAAGGCTAGAAAGCAGATAAAAATCAGACTCTAGGGTACTGAATGCCAGCTTAAGGCATTCTGGACTCTTTACTGTAAGGAACAAAGAACCATGGAAAATTTATAAGGAACATAGCATCATCTGAGTTACTTCAGAAGGATTAATTTAACAGTGTAAAGCAGAGGTTCTTCAAGCGTGGTATCAGGAACAATAGCATCAACATCATCTGGGAACTTCAGCATGCAAATTCTGAGATCCACTATAGACCTACTCAATCTGAAACTTGGAGGGGAGCGATGGTTTGTGGTGCTCAACAATCTGTTCTGCAGGGAATTCCTTGGTTGTCCAGTGGTTAGGACTCAGCGCTTTCACTGCCATGGCCCAGGTTCAATCCCTGGTCAGGGAACTAAGATCCCGCAACTGCAAGGCGTGGTCAGTTGAAAAAAAAAAAATCTGTTTTACAATCCCTCCAGCTGATTATGATGTCTGTTAAAGTTCTAGAACCCATGGTCTAGATGGGAAAGATGCTACAAAAGAATTGATCAGGGCTTATAAATGGACTGTCAAGTGGATAAAGGGGGAAAAAACCTAAAAAATGTCAAACCAAAGTCAACTATGAAAAGGAGAAATGGGAACAATAGAAAAAGTTGGGTTGGGACCTCCATGGAAAAAATATACTCAGTTTGAAATATGTCATGTTGGGGAAGCCAATAAACTACTCCAGATAAGACAGCTGAAAATTCAGGTAGCGCTCAGAAGTTGGGTCTGGAGATAAATCAACAGAAATTCCTCTGCACAGAGTTAATAGGTGTCTACATCTTACATGGGAAAAAACAGAGGAAAGATAAGAGGGCTGTCAACATAAAGTTGGGGATACCTGCATTTAGAAAGTTAAAGACTCAGAGCAAGTGAGGGAGGGAAGAAGAATATTACAAAACTGTGATTGTATGGTTTTTTGTTTTTGTGTTTAGAAACAAAATATGAATAAAAAAGAACACACACACACAGTAAACAGTAGACATTAGAGATAGTTGCTTAAAGGACCCCTCATTCTAAAAAAATAAATAAGTAAATGACATTGTTATTCGAGCAGAATACAAAAAAAAAAAAAGGGGAAGGATATTTGGACCAATGTCTAATACTGCAGAAAGATTTATTTACCTCGATTCATAAAGTAGAAAGCTACTAAGACTAGAGCACAGATTTCGGCCTTGGGTTATTTAGTCTTAATTCACTGCTTTCCAAACATAGCTAATCACATTATGTGGAAAGCTTTTCTAGAATGACTTAATAGGTATGGGGTGGCCAGTATTTGGGATCCTCTGGTCCAATATCATTTAGCACATGTCTACAGTAAATCTGGAATCACCATTCAACTATTCTCAAGTATCCTGGCGCAAGTTCCTAAGTGGTTTGAACTGAGAACTCCTGACAGAAATGACTCCACTTATCCTGAACTCAAGTAATTCTGATGATCAGCTGAATATGGGAACTCCTGGTCATGATAAACCAGCTTCCAGCTCTAAATTTCTAAGTACTTATTAACATACTTAGGACAGATGTCGCCATTTAAAAAAAAAATGCCAATGTGAAGGCAGCAGGCTCATTCTTAAGTTATTAATAACATTTATATAAAACTTGTTGAGCTGAAACGTAGCCAAATAACCACAATTCGCAAATATCTTGACTTCTAAAGACCTGAGTTTTGAAGGAATTTACTTACTTAGTACACTTATAGAATTTCTAAGTGTTGTTCTGAATGGCAGGTACCATGTCACGTTCATCTTTGCATTAACCAGCTACTACCAATGACTGTGAGATTCAAATTTCTTTTGTTGAAAGAACTGGACTCATAATACTTTTTGAAAGCTGACAAATTTTACATTACTGTTTGGCCAACTATAGTTATAATACAGCTATTCGATTCAGAATCAGATAAAGAAGACAACATGTTTTCTCTTATCAGGTAAACTGCAAACTTGTTTTACATTTTGCGTTTTTTGGCCTAGAAAAAAAATGTCACCACTAGGTTCTGATCACGTGCCCGCTACGGGTGACTGGAGAAAAGGAAAACAGGGAAAATCAATGCAAGAAATCTACACCGAGAACACAACAAAATAACGTTCAAAAGATTCCTATCACCTGGTTACATCAGGAAGCCACTGTGCAGTTAGGCTGGGCCACTCCAGAGCATGGGTCATCACCAAATCGTAAAGAAAAGGAGTGTTCTTTTTCCATATTTTGTATTCTTCATTGATCACACGTTCTTCTACGGCGTCATCAAAGGCTGCTAAAACATTAAAAACAAATTTAAGTTAGCGACCACAAATGGAAACCGAGTAGACACTTTCAAAGCTACCGGCACGGCTCCAGAATCCCGATTCTGAAATGGAGGTTTGTCTAAATCTCCCCGAGGCGCAGGCACCAACACCGCTCTCCAGCTTCACGGGGCCTAACTGCTGGGGTCATCCCGGCCAGACGCCGTTAGCCGTTCGGGCGACAGCGTCGGCAGGAGAACAGAACCCGCGAGGAGGGCCAAACACCGACCCCTGCGGGTAGCGAGCGCTGCAGAGAGGACCCGGAGAGAGACAGGCAGACCGACAGGGAGCGCGGGGAGGGACCAAATACCCGCCGGGGCCCCCACCGCCACCCTCCCGCCGCTGCGCCGGGCCTCCGCTCCCGAGGAGCTGGCGCGCCGTTAGCCCGCCCCGCGGGGCGATTTCTCCTCACGCCTGCGATGGCGGGTACGGCACTCAGCAGAGTCCGGCCTGTCCTCACTGTTAGGCCGTGTAGAGGCCGTTACGCAAGCCCGGCACCCCCGCTCTCCTGTGGCCGCCCCGGTACCCTCACCTTCCTTGTCGGCCATGGCGGGCAGGCAAGCCGGGGGGATCGGGTTGAGCTTTGCGAGAGGGGCGGGGAGGCTGCGGGCGCTCGCTCTGCGCGCGCGGCCTCTATTGTTTCCTGCTGCCCCTGAGTGAGGGCCGACTCGCGCACCTTCGCGCCAACACCGGCCAATCGGAGCGCGCCGAGCGGCGAGGTGGGCGGGGAAGCCGCGTTCGTAGCCTATCCAGACGCGCGGAGTCGCTTGCCGCGGGGTCGAAGCGCGCGCTCCTCCCCTGCCCCCACAAGGCCCGGAGCCGACTTCCTTCGATTGCGCGCGCGCGGGGTTGGTGAGAGTGCGCCTCTCGAGGTCACGTGAGAGGTTTAGTCCGCACGCTCTTGGGTGCAGCCATTTTCTTGAAGCTAGCGATCCCTTCAAAGTAGGACTTTAGATGAGGAGTCTAAAATGTTTTCGGGTCTAGTTGTCAACTCTGGGGGTGAGGCTGCAAGAAAAGGCTTCTATCAGACCTCGAGATGTCTAATTTAAGTGTCCCTTGCTCCTAGGTCCTCCAATTTATTTGTTCCCTTAGTTCTTAGAAAGAACTATTGATGAAGCAAGCCCAGAAAATGAGGCCTTGGACTTTTAAAGATCTCCAAGCGGCGGGACCTAGGACGGAAGTCTTAGGGGATTAAGTAAGTCCTCGAGAATGGAGTCCTGGCCCTTTAAGGGTGTGTGTTAAGGGGCGGAGTCTAGGGCGGAAGTTGTAAGTCCGGGCCGAAGTCCGGCTGACGAAGGGCGGAAGTTGAGTTTGGGGCCCAAGCCGCAATCATGGCGCTGGAAAGGGAAGATGTTAGAGATTACAATTTGACTGAGAAGCAGAAGGCGATCAAGGCCAAGTATCCTCCAGTCAATCGGAAGTACGAGTGTGAGTAGGTGGCTCACTTCTCTCCTTGCCGGGGGCTTCCGGCTTCCTCTTCCATTTTGCCCCATAGGGTGGCTCAGGCATTCCCGTTTTGCCCTTTATTGTAGGCTTTTATGTACTTCTCTGGGGAACGCTGAAGGCTAAAGCCTCCTGGTCTGAGAGTCGGGAAACCCGGGCTCCCAAATTTACAGCCTTTTGAACTTTTTCTGCATATGCCTAATTACATTTATCTTGTGGGAATTTTACTTCCGTATTAATTCTGAAGGTAACGTATTTTCAAGCGTTTGAGGGGTTGTCGCCCCCAAGTATCTCCCTCCAACTGTGGGATAGTTAGAGTGTGCCTAGGGTAGAGGACTCGGAAAGCTCTGAGTAGGGGACTTCTAAATTGGTGTCTTACCTGTATCGTGTTGTTAGCAAAAAGACCTGGTCTTGTCATTTTTAGCTTAGTGACTTTAGGCAAAAAAATCACATAACCTCTTTGCATTCAGTTCCTTCATGTGAGGGATAAATGAGATAATAATAAATGTGAAAGTATAGTGCAGACTCTGAAGTTCTACATAAACGTTAAGCTGCCGTCCCTAAAGGTGGATGTGGTTTGGGGAGCACAAATCTGGCTCTTATTTCCTTTCTTAAAGTTCTTTCATTGATTTCCCATTGTCCTCTGTATAGAGTCCAACTATTTACCATAGCATACTAGGCTCTGTACTTTCTGGACCCTGCATATCTCCCTAGCTCACTGTCTCTCACTTAATTTTTTAAAAATTACTTTTAATAGGTCATATATATGATTTAGAATTCAAAAAATACAACGGGTATGCAGCGAAAGTCTTTCTTTCAGCCCCGATCCCCAGCCCCTTAGTCTTGCTATCCAGATCGACCATCCTTAACATTTTCTTATGTGTACATGCAAAGGTGTATGTTTACTTAATTTACTTAACCAATTTCTAGTTGATGGACATTTATACTTATACTCGTTTGCCAATAAAAATAATGCAGCAGTGGATATACCTGTGCATCCATTGTTTGGCACATGTGCACGTGTATCTGTAGAATAAATTTCCAAAAGTTACATTGCTTTTTCAAAGGGTATCTGCATTTTATCAATGTTTTTTAAAATTGAAGTATAGTTGGTGTACAATGTTGTGTTAATTTCTGCTGTACAGCCAAGTGATCCAGTCATACATATATAGACATTCTTTTTGATATCTGCATTTTAAACTTCAACAATTATTGCCAAATTGCTTTCCATTGAGGTTGTGCCAGTTTATACCCTTGCTAGCATTGTGTGTGTGCCTTTTTTCTTTCCTTTTAAGAAGCCTGAATTCTTTTTTTTAATTCATTTTTAAACTTATTTTTACTTTTTAAAATTTATTTATTTTTTGGCTGCACTGTGCTGCGCGGCAGGTGCGGTCTTAGTTCCCCGACCAGGGAGTGAACCCGTGCCCCCTGCATTGGAAGCAGAGTCTTAACCACTGGACCGCCAGGGAAGTCCCGACTGTGCCTCTTTTCTCACACTTTTACCAATTTACTGTGTTACCACACTTTTTGATCTTTTCCAGTCTGTTAAGTATCTTATACTAATTGCATTTTACTTATAAGTGAGGCTGAACGTATTTTAGTATGTTTGGAGTTATTTGTATTTACCTTCTGGAATGTGTATATTCATATTTTTAACCCGTTTTTTCTATTGGATTGTTGGTCTTTTTTACTGTGCAGAAGTTTATTTTTATGTAGTGAAATTTGTTAACCCTTTTTATGGCTACTGGGATATCATACTTAAGAAGGCATTGCTCACTCTGGGACTGTAAATTAATTCTCCCATGTTTTCTTCTAGTACATTTGAAAATAAAACTTTTTTTTTTTTCTTAGGCCATACCACATGGCTTGTGGGATGTGGGATTTTAGTTCCCCGCCCAGGGATTGAACCTGGGCCCTTGGCAGTGAGAGCACAGAGTCCTAACCACTGGACTGCCAGGGAATTCCCCAAAATAAAACTTATATTTTAGTATAAGGTACATATAATAGAGTACACATGTTACAAATGAATTTTTGCAAACTGGATACACCTGTATAACTAGTAACCAGATCAAAAAACAGAATGTTACAGCATCCCTGAAGACCCTCTCATGCTCCTTTCTCCTCTCTCCGTATTTTTCCCATTAGCCTGACTACTAACACCATACATGAGCTTTGCATGTTTTTGTACGTAATCTAAATGGAATCATGTAGTATGTATTCCTTTTGTGTTTGGCTTTTTTTGTCTCATATTTATGAGAACCGTATTTTTGCTAATAGTTATAGATTGTTCATGTTTCTAGTATTTATGGTTTTTAAAAAATATATATTTAAATTTTGAATACCTTAGGATTAGGGTAAGGTGGAAATTAAGTATCAATATCTGATAATTATTTTCCAGATGCTATAAAATCATTTATCAACAGTCTGTCTTTTCCCCTGTGATTGAAATATGACATCTTTATCGTATACAGAATTCCTCTAACTATATTTAGGTCTATAGCTGGACTTACTATTCTATTCCTTTGTTTTAGCTCTCTTTTTATGTGCCAGTGCCACATTTTAAATTATTGAGGCTTTATTGTATCTTTTAATATCTTCTAGGACAATCTCCCTCTCAGTACTTGCTCCTTTCCTACCATTCTTATTGTTTTTATTTTTTTCTCTATATGTAGATAAAAATCAGCTTGTGACGATCCATAAGAATTACTGTTGGTATCCCCTCCCCCCTTTTAATCATTTGTTTCATCTTCTCTCCATCCTGAGGCTACTTAGGGGCCCAACCCTGAATCACCTTATTAGCATAGACTCAAGTGTGGTCAGAAGGGACTCTTTATGAATAACACTGAGTGACACTCCTGTCACTCAGAAAATTCCCAGGATTTTAAGAGCTCTGTTCCAGGAACCAGGGACAAAGACCAAGTATATATTTTCATTATACCACAAAAACATTCAGTGAAAAGCAGCAATTAGGAATGAGAGAAAAGGGCCTCCCTGGTGGCACAGTGATTAAGAATCTGCCTGCCAATGCAGGGGACATGGGTTCGAGCCCTGGTCCAGGAAGATTCCACATGCTGTGGAGCAAGTAAGCCCATGCACCGCAACTACTGAGCCCATGCACTGCAACTACTGAGGCTGCGAGCCACAACTACTGAGCGCATGTGCCTCAACTACTGAAGCCCGCATGCCTAGAGCCCATGCTCTGCAACAAGAGAAGCCACCGCAATGAGAAGCCCATGCACTGCAACGAAGAGTAGCCCCCACTCGCCGAAACTAGAGAAAGCCCATATGCAGCAACAAACACCCAACGCAGCCAAAAAAATAAATAAATTTATTAAAAAAAAAAAGAATGAGAAAAAATAAACAATAGTGTATTTTTGAGAAATAGTTGAGAAAAGACCATTTGCTCAAAAATCCTGTTAACATTTTGTTTGGGAATTCCCTGGCCATCCAGTGGTTAGGACTCGGTACTTTCACTGCCGGGCTGGGGTTCAATCCCTTTCCGGGGAGCTAAGATCCCACAAGCCTTGCAGTGAGGCAAAAAACCGAAAAAAAAATTTTTTTATGTTATGCCTCATGATTACATCTATGGAGATGATGTAATCTGTTTCCTAAGAATTGAATCTTTGCATTCCAGGGATAAATCCCACTTGGTCATTCTGGATTCTACTTGCTGACATTTTGTACAGAATCTTGGCATTGATGTAATGTGAGATTAGTATGTTTCCTCCAGCTTCATTTCTTGCCACTGACTACCCCCAGATCTACCCCAAGCTCTCCCTGTAGCCCTGTTTTTCCTTTAAGACTCAGCTCAATTGTCATCTCATATATTCATTCAGCAACATTATTGAGCACCTGTTGTGTATCAGACACTGAGCGGAAACTGGGAATAAATGAGTGAGCAGATAGATAAAGATCATCCTTAGTCTCTTGGCACATAAAGTGTTAAGTCTTGTTTCCTTTGGGAATTCTTACCTGAACCCCTTAGTCTAGCTTAGTTTATCTCTTATTCTCTCCTATAATAGAATTTTCAAAGTGGGTGGTTTCTAGAACCCTAGGTTTCCCCAGACTTTTTCAAAGGATCTGTGAAGTTAAAACTACTTTCTTAATAATACTAGATGTTACTTGCTCTTTTCACTGTGTTGATATTTGCACTCGTGGTGCAGAGGCAGTAATAGGTAAAAGTCCTGGCCCCTTGGCACAAATTGAGGCAGTGGCACCAAACTGTATTGGTAGCCATTGTATTATTTACCACTATGTACTTATAATTAAAAAAAGAAAAAGTCATTTTTACTTAAAAATGTCCTTGATGACTTGGCAAGAACTATTAATTTTATTAAATATTAACCATTGAGTACACACCTTTTTAATATTCTGTGTAACAAAATGGGAAGTATGCATAGTGTTTCTGCTGCTTCTCAAAGTATTGATGCTTACCTTCAGGAAAAGAACTTCTGTGATTGTTTGAGTTGTGAGATGCCTTTTTTCTCGGAACACTATTTTTTCTCAAAAGAATGACTGAAAGACATACTATTGTTATTCAGACTTGGGTATTTCCAATATCTTCTTGAAAATAAAGTAATCTGTCACATCAAGGAAAATAACAATATTTGTTGGTATATTGATAATGTATATTATATAATGATAAAATTCAAGCTTTCAAGTGAAATCAGAATTTTGGAAAACTTGTATCTGCCATCATGAGCTTCACGGTTTCCCAGTGCTTAAAGACTTTTCTGATGAGATTGGAGGTGATATTAACAAATAGATTTTTAAAAATTCTATAGAATGTGTCAACATCGATGAACTGATATTATCCCAAAAACCAATGCTTGATATTACACAATCAGGCAAAGATAAGATCTGTTCTAAGCACAAGATAGAGCAATGGATTTTAATGTTACAGAGTTCGAAAAATTCATTGTTAAAACCTCAGATTCTGCATTGCAACTAACCTTTAAAAAACCACCAGTTTCTAGTTTTGGTGAAGGAAGACTATATACAATTTTTTTTCCTTACTCCGGCTGTGCTGCCCATATGCATTTTTAAAATAAATTTATTTATTTATGTATTTATTTTTGGCTGCATTGGGTCTTCATTGCTGCGGGCAGGCTTTCTCTAGTTGCGGCGAGTGGAGGCTCTTCCTTGTTGTGGTGCGTGGATTTCTCATTGCGGTGGCTTCTCTTGCCGTGGAGCACGGGCTCTAGGCACACGGGCTTCAGTAGTTGTGGCTCGTAGACTCTAGAGAGCAGGCTCAGTAGTTGTGGCACACGGGCTTAGTTGCTTCACGGCATGTGGGATCTTCCTGGACCAGGGCTCGAACCCATGTCCTCTGGATTGGCAGGCGGATTCTTAACCACTGTGCCAGCAGGGAAGTCCACATTTTTTTTTAGCTCTTAAAATACTCCTTTTTCCTCCTGCATATCTGTGAGATTGCAGCACACTGAAAAGCCAGACATTAAAAATACTTGCAGAAATGCTAAACAGCGCCACTCTTCTCACTACATTTTTTGAAAATGTAGTCATTTTTCATAGAAATATATAATTTATGTTAAATAAAATGAGCTTATTATTTGTATTTATTTATTTATTATTTTTGGCTGCATTGGGTCTTCGTTGCTGCTCTGGGGCTTTCTCTAGTTGCGGCGAGAGGGGGCTATTCTTTGTTGCAGCGCACGGGCTTCTCATTGCAGTGGCTTCTCTTGTTGCAGACCTTGGGCTCTAGGCACGCGGGCTTCAATAGTTGCAGCCGTGGGCCCTATAGCACTCGGGCTTCAGTAGTTGCGGCACGTGGGCTCAGTAGTTGTGGTGCTTGGGGCTCTAGGACGCACGGGCTTCAGTAGTTGTGGCGTGCATTGGCAGGTGGAATGTTAACCACTGCACCACCGGGGAAGTCCCTGGGCTTATTATTTTTAAGTGAATTAATACATACTTAAAAATTTTTTTCAGTTAAAATTTCTAGGTTAGTATTGCCAGATACAACCCATATAAACAAAAGCTCTTTGGGTCCTCAGTAATTTTTAAGAGAATAAAGGGTTCCTGAGACCAAAAAATTTGAGAACTACTGCCCTATAGCAATCTGTCATTGTCTCTTTAAACTGTCTTAAAAAATTGAGGTACAATTTACATGTTATAAAAGTGCTCACATCTTAAGTATAAAGTCCAATGAGTTTTGATAAACAAATGACATCTGTGTAACCAATACTCGAGTCAAGCTCTAGAACATTTCTGTCACCCTAGAAAGTTCCCTTTGCTCCTTTCCAGTTAGTCCCCTAGCCCCTTACCTTGAGGCAGGCACTGCTCTGATGTCTATCACCACAGTTTACTTTTGTTTTAGAGTTTTGTATAAGTGGAATCACACAGTATAGATTCTTTTCTGTCTGGCTTCTTCACTCGGTATCAAACACAGCTAGATGTTAAACTGGTGAATGGATTTTATTCGGTAACTACTGACAGCAGGGGAAAGAGGTGAGCTCCCTGACTCTTGTTAATGCATTGTATCAGTAGTTCATGCTTTTTTATTGCTGAGTAGTGTGGCATTGTATTCCTCAGTTTGTTTATCCTTTCTCTTGATGGATATGGGGTTTTTTATTTGGGGGAATAAAATTGCTGTGAACCTTCTATGTCCTTTTGTGGCCACATACTTTCATTTCTCTAGGGTTAATACCTGTTATTTTCTTTTAACTTGTTTGTCATCTCTGCTGATCATTGAGCCTCTTAATGCCTAAAATGTATTGAGTTCTCAGTAATATTCTGAGTAAATTAGAGATGAGCTTAAACCTTGGGTGTTACCAGAACAAGATGTGTTATGTAAACGGCACTAAACTGGGAGTCAGAAAATCTCAATTCTAGTCCCAACTCTAATCAGCAGTGTAGTCCTAAACAAGTCGCACAATCTCTCTGGATTTCAGGTTTCTTCTTGTAATTGAAGGAATTCTGTTAAATGAACTCTAAGACTTCGTTATAGCCTGAATATTCTATGATTCTGAGCAGGAAGAATTGATGGAAGTCAGGTAAGAGTGAAGGATAGACTCTAAAATCATTTGTTTTTTAATTAGTTAATTTTTTAAAATTTGGCTGCCCTGGGTCTTCATTGTGGCACTTGGGCTTCTCTAGTTGTGGTGCGTGGGCTTAGTTGCCCTTTGGCATGTGGGATCTTAGTTCCCTGACCAGGGATCAAACTCACATCCCTTGCCTTGGAAGGCAGATTCTTAAGTAGTGGACCACCAGCGAAGTCCTGACTTTGAAATCTTGAGATAACAGATCCAATGGGAACTTGCTGTAGTAGCAGTTGTTATTTCCTAGTGTTGCTGTGAGAATATCAGGAAAAAGCTCATAATACATATTGTAGAGTTTACTTTCCAAAACAGTTTTATTGGTCAAGGATATCATTGAGGAGTCCTTCAAATGAAAGAAATCAACAAATATAAAACTTGGCTCTTGTTAAAAATAAAAAACTGTTTTGTCTGGGATTTGGCTAGCTGTTCATGAAAAGGTGAAGTGAAATCTGGAATTTTATATCTTTGATGATGTAGTTTCTAGAATTTTGGTCATTCACACGAGTAGATATTTAGAAAAGATACTGATTTGTTTTGTTGAGGAAAAGTAACTAATGGCAGAGAATGGCATTTGTTTATTGAAGAACTATGATGTATTAGACACTTTTTAGATCACCTAGAAGACCGTGGCTTTGATGCCTTCCAGAAATTGTCATTCATTTAAATATAAATCTAGGCTTTTAAAAAAATAACCCTTTAGCATCAATATGCTAATATTATGGAAGTATTAATTCTTTTATTTAATATTAGTTCATTTAATATTAACAGAATAATAACTGTGAATGCTTAGAAGAAATTTTTAAAAATAAAAAATAACCCTTAACAGAACAATCAACTTTTGTGTAAATGGTTAGTGAAAGGTGTGTGGCCAGCCCACATTTTCTTGCTGTTCAAGGATTATGTTCTTAGTAATGATCTAGAGTTATTTTCTTGTGATTTGCAAGTCAGGTTTAGTTACTTATAAGTGTTTTTTCCTCTCTCCCTCAGATTTGGATCATACAGCTGATGTCCAGTGAGTATAGCTAGAGTTTATGCCTTTGCAACCACGTGCTTAACATAGGAAGGCTGATGTTTTAATCTTGATGTCCCGAGTTTTAATTTTTCTCCTCGTCTTTTGGTTCCTTTAGAACATGCAAATGATGGTTTAAAAGCACCTGGTTTCAGTGTCATTAAACTGATTGAGACCTTTGGTTTTGTATTTATCATGTTAATTTTATTTTGACTTTCCTGACAAGTTTTCTGCTTTGCAGTGGATTATATTACACAGGGCATGAATGTATTTCTTTAGGTTACACGCATGGGGAGATACTCTGGAGGAAGCATTTGAGCAATGTGCAATGGCCATGTTTGGTTATATGACAGATACTGGGACAGTGGAACCCCTCCAAGCAACAGAAGTAGAAATCCAAGGTAACCAATTTATTCACAAGGAAGAAATTGTTATAGATGTTCAGTATTCTATGTAAATTCAGTATATGCTCACAGTAAGAACAACAAAATTGATTATGAGCTTGTTCTTTCAACTAGCCTAAGAAATTCATTGCGCTGTTAAATTCAAACCAGTTTTTTAGAGACAAGAGTTATTAAACATGATACTGTCATGGTTCTTTTTGATCCTGTGTAGGAGATGACTTACAATCTCTTCTGTTTCACTTTTTGAATGAATGGCTTTATAAATTCAGTGCTGATGAATTCTTCATAGCCCGGGTAAGCAATAGTTTTTCTTTTTTACTGAGCAAATGCGTTCTTACCCATATTTTATAATAAGACTAGTGATTTAAAATAGAACATGTGATGCAAAACCAAGCCATACAGATGATGATTTGCAGAAATTATAATAACCATAGGCTCTTCTTGGATAACCCGAGTTTGCTTATGTATGTGCATTTTGTATTTAGATCTCTTATTATATACTTGTCACTCATCAGGATTGTGTGACAAGAACACACCTATTGTTGCCACTGTCTCTGCACATTTTATGTCTCCCAAGTTTGAACTGTATTTATGTCCGTCCATATGTTCCTTTTGTCCCATTTGTAATTTGGCAGTTCTACCATGTTGGCCTAAGTGTAAAAATTGATGCTTTTAGTTTTCCTTAATGTGAAAAAGGAAAAGCCAAATGGAGTTTACTTGTTGCCACCAACCTCCAGAGGGAACACCTCTCCAACCTCATTGTCATCTAACACACATGGCCTTCCTTGCTTCCGTAATTCCTCCATTCTCTCCCTTACCAACTCCACTACATATATTCTTCCAACTGGGTCATTCGTCCTATAGAACTGGGTCATTCGTCCTACAATATTATATAAAAATAGGCTGAGAGTTTTGTCAACTCTAAATAAATAAAACTGAAAAAAATCCAGAGTGATTGAAACCCTAGGTCATCCTCCTCTATGTATCTTACAGAAAAATTCTTTTGACTCATATTTTTAGATTGTACATTTTTAAGAATATGTCCCTTGAATATGTAAGAAAAAACTATTTCCTTGAAATATATAGTTTGTTATTCTGTTTTAGTTAACATTTTAGTTTTCTTTGCTTCAGAGAAGTTTTATGCTATTATCTTGAAAAGATGATAACCTAGACATGTTTTAGGAGCTGGTCTGTTATGAACATATATTAAAATTAAAAGAAATTTTTTTTCTTCTTTAGGAAGTAAAAGTACTTAATATTGATCAAAGAAATTTCAAATTACGGTCAATTGGGTAAGTTTTGAAAACCTTTTAAGTAGCGGGTCATGAAAGATGTTAAGTTATTCTTCAGTGAACTCAGTGGGCAGGAAGACAAATAGCAATGTTAAGTCAGAAGACCAGTTGCATCCCAGTAGGGCTTTGCAGGTTAAGCTTCTTGAGATACCTAGGAGCCAGGGTTCACCTCAGGTTTGGTGGACCAGAAACTTGTCAGAACAAAGTTGTTGTGTGTTATTAAACAGGATTCCCAATTTGTTGATTTTTAGCACAAAAAATATATCATTGGTAGAGGGCACAGATATTTGCATAAAGCTTAGCTTGGTGATGAGAAATGCTGATGCATCCTTTCTTATAGATCCTCACACCTGGACTCCATTTCCTTCTATTAACAAGTTATACACTTCCTTCCAGAGTTTGCAAACACTTGATTATGGCACTTTGATTGGATTTGGTGTTTTCCGAGTTTCTTCAGTCATTTAATGATATCTTTTAGGTGTTTTGTTTTTTTTTTAACAAGTCTCTGTTTATTCATACTTAGATATAGGTTATTTTTACTCTTTTATTTTTGTGTACAGATTTACTTAACAATCACGGTTTCTAGGACAGGTTCAGGTAACTAAAAAGCCTTTATAAGTAGTTTATATTCTCTAGACCCAAGGTATGCTGCAAGCCCAATCTGGAGCAAAATGGGAAATAACATCTTTCTAAAGATAGGCTTAGAAATCCTAATCTAGTAATTTAAGATGTTTCCTTTCTCGGGTAGCAGGGCTGAGTTATATCTTGCTGCTAGGCCACCATTCACAGGGATAGCCAAGAAAACAGGGTACAGACCACCAAAAACAAGACCAACCAATTCACCTCGTGTGAAGGTACAGGTTTCACAATGCAAATCACCTGTATTCAAAGGTAAACTTACAAAATCTTTGTAAGATACGTGTGCCGTCAAAAATGGGATCTCTGCCATTGCTAAGCCAGCAGGTATATGAGCCTGTGTCACATGTAAGATTCGTCGAAAAAGACTATCTGCTATTAGGCCATAGAGGGCAGCGTTAAGTCCAACGTATGTTGATCCATTTTCAAGTGGATTCCTTTCTGTTTTGGAATTTGGTTAATTTTTCTGGTTGTGATATCAATTAAGTTCTCCTTGACAGTATCATCTGGTTCATGATTTTCCATCTTGAGCCTTACACTTTCCTCCCAGCACTCACTGCCTCCTCTGGTCTTATTCAGCCACGTGAGGGCTCACTCCAACCCTTACGCAGCTCTTTTAGGTTATTTTTATATAGAGCTTATCTTTTCTATTTTATGTTGAATTTTTTTAGTTTCTTTTTGTAAAGTGAGAGCTTTTATTATCTCCTCCTCCCTTTTTTTAATGGGTAAGAAAACAGGGTTGTCCAAGGGTACTTAGCTAATAAATAGTTGAACAGAATTTTAAAACTTTGCTCTTTCTACTACTGCTACTGCTTCTGCTACTGTGATCTTCAGCCACATGTGTTGAAGGGAGAGAGGATGTTCATCCCAGGTTCCAGGGCAGTACCTTTCTAGGGCCTTCCATGTACACACCATGGACATTTTTTGAAAAGTTATAAAATACAAACCAAGTTCAGACTGTATTACAGAATCTAGTATTTTGCCTTTATGGTGTTCAGACGTGCTTTCTCCAGTGGAAGATATTAATTAGTTCTGTAGTCCTGAGTACAGTGAAAATTTTGAACATGCTACTCTGTTGTGAACCAATATTCATTAAACAATGTTTATTGAGAATCTACCTATATACATTATACTAGGACACTTTTTTTTTTAAGAGCAACTATCAACCTTCTTGAAATGGCTATTGTACACATAAGTCCCTCAACAGCTGTATCTGCTAACAATCAAATTGAAATTTATAGCTCCCTTCCCCCTCCATCTCTTTTGGCTTTCTAGTATCTAAACCACATTTATAAGGCTTATTTTAAAATGTGGAAAGAGAGAATAAATGTTAAATCCTGGAAATCTTAATCATGTTTCACTTTTCCTTCTCAAGGTGGGGAGAAGAATTCTCATTGTCCAAGCACCCTCAGGTATGTTTTTAAATCCAGCCATTAGAAACATTTTATACTACCTTACCATAAAGTCAGTGAATGTGACAGTTAACTAGTTCTAATAAGTTAGTGTAAAGTCCTAAATTTTTCTCAGACTAATATGACCTGTCGGGACATATTATGTTAAAACACTGATTTCACACAGCTGATTTGGAGGATTAGGAATCAGCACTTGGGTCATAGGGTCAGGTTTGTTACAGAGTTGTGGGGTGTAAAAATCCCTTTGCCTTATCGAGTTTTGATGTCCTCCCCCATAATGAAGGTGTTGGACTAGATGTTCTCTAAAGTGTCTTCTGCCTTTTGTGCTTCTCCAGATTCAGTATTTGCCAGCATGTATGGCTTCGCTCTATACGAGTCAAATCTGTTGGAATAGGGGGAGGCAATTTTTTTCCTAATGTTTTGTGCTTTGTGGGCAGAGAATGATGGAAGAGCAACTATTCAACTCTTCTCTTATATATAGCACTAAACAGCCAAGGACAACACATTAATGAATGAATGTGGATGTGTTCCAGTAAAACTTTTTTTAAACATTTCCTCCACTACTATTTAGAAATGTAAAAACCATTCTTAGTTCGTGGGGCTGTACAACAATAGGTGGCAGGCCGGATTTGGCCTTCAATTTGTAGTTCACTGACTCCTGTGTTTAGGCCAAGGAGACCTAAGTTAGTTGGAGGCGACTGGAAAATCCTGTTCGCTTCTGGTAGCTGCAATAGAATTTCTTCAACCACAGTGCAATAAAATGAAGCCTGGGAGGGAGCCTCGGGGAAGAGAAGCATAAAAAGAACAGAAGCCAGTAGAGAGGGAGCATGTGGACTGAAAACAAATTATTTTTATAATACAAATGACAGTGGCATTTTCTTTTGAGTATGTTATATTTGAGATACCTATTAGACATCTAAACGGAGATGTTGGATAATAGGCATTTGACTGCCATTCAGAGAAGGGAATAGGCCGAGTTCCCAGGGCCCAGGTTCAACTGTATGGAAGAAGCCTTAAGAGGGAGCCCTGACCCAAACAGTAGGAAAGCTTTGTGTTCTTGGATTCAACCCATCTGATAAATGAAAAAGCTGATGCCCAGAGAGGTCAGACAGCTTCTGTATCCAGTTGCAAACAAAGCCAGGACTATAATATGCTTCGTCTCCTAACTCAATGATTTTTTTGCTGTACACATTTGCCTCTCATTTTTACTGGATCAGTGGATAATACTATACTAATTTGATAACTAATTGTTTCGTCTGAGTTTTTCAGAGCAATATTAGAATTTTGACTTTCTGCCAGTCGTTGCTAGAGTTAATGATTCTGATTTTGATGTCCTTTTTCTTCCTGTTTTTTCTTTAACCCCAACTTCAGGGAACTGAAGTCAAGGCAATAACGTATTCAGCAATGCAGGTCTATAATGAAGAGAAGCCAGAAGTTTTTGTGATCCTTGACATTTAAGACACACACAAAAAAGAGCCTCCCTATGAAGAACTGTTTTTTCTCTTCCTTTTGAGAAGATACCATGATACCATGATATAAATTCTACAGTATCTTAATATATGGAGATTTGCAGAACAGAAATTTTTAAATTAAAATGTGACTTACAGAAATGGAAAATCTAGGTACAGCCTTGGTCTGTGTTATCCAAATATTCAAAGTTTAAAGAAACCTTTAGGTGGCAAGTATGGTATCTCATTTGTTAATTCCCTGCTGTAGCAGCAGGTGCCTTACACCCTTCCCATGGAATGCCAGCCCTCCAGCCTGGTCCCAGAAAGGATCATTGATCTAAGAGCAGCCTGAGAGACTCTGAAGCCCCCATGCTCTTACTGAATGCAGCTTGGAAAAAAAAAGAAATTTGAGGAATCCTACAACCAGGATTTTGCTTTTCTTCCAAATTGGTTAACACATATATTTTCTATACGTACATGAAAAGAGGTCGTTTTAGATTGCTGTGGGAAAGAGCCATCCTGTATTCCAGTTGGTTTTCTCAGATGAAACAATTATAGTTGAACAATTGGAAGGCTTCTCTAGAAAGAGCCCTGATTTACTGTTCTCACTTTTTTCTAAGCACTGAAGTATTGACACTTTCCTGTTTTCCCATAAGAAAAATTTGATGCATGTACAAATGGGCCCTTCTTTCTAACATATAGTTTTATATTAAAGCCATTATATTTAGAGAAGAAAAGGAGACTTTTTTAAAATGTCTTTGGTTTTTAAAAATTACCTAAGCTTTTCATTCCTAAGGAGACAGGAGGCCAGGAAAACAACTTTAAAATGATCTGAACTTTTCAAAGTAGATAACCTTTGAAAACATGAGGCTGCTTTCATTTGATTTGCAGCATTATTCCATTTTCTATTCATTGATTGAGGTATTCTTCCTTGTGATGCAAGAGTTTGCAAAGTTGCTATTTATTCACACATATGTGAAAAAAGATTGCCACTGGGTGCTGCCAAATATCATTATAGTGTGCTGAACTTGACCTAAAAGGAAGAGATTGTCTGTGAGCTTTCTAACTGTTCTCTTGGAGCACCACATTATTTTTACTCTGGGGATTTTTTTTTTTTTTTTTTGGGCTGCGCCACACGACATGTGTGATCTTATTTCCCTAAACAAGGATCGAACCCGTGCCGCCTGTCTTGGAAGCTCGGAGTCCTATCCACTGGACCGCCAGGGAAGTCCCTCTCTGGGAATTTAACAGAAAGTAGCGGGGGGTAATGAAGACAAGGGCAAGAGCCTGTGAGGTTTTTTTTGTTTGTTTTTTGTTTTTGCGGTACGCGGGCCTCTCCCGTTGCGGAGCACAGGCTCCAGACGCGCAGGCTCAGCGGCCATGGCTCACGGGCCCAGCCGCTCCTCGGCATGTGGGGATCTTCCCGGACGGGGGCACGAACCCGCGTCCCCTGCATCAGCAGGGGGACTCTCAACCACTGCGCCACCCGGGAAGCCCGAGCCTGTGGATTTAATAGTAGCTCTTCAAATGGATACACAGCAGGATCTCTGAGGTAGCACTCCTTTACCTTCTTTATTCTCAGGCATATTTTATAATGTAAATTGTGGACCTCCAAGCAAAACAATGTCTAGAAGAATCTCTTTACCTTTTGTTAGGATGAATTTCCAGCCTGAGATGGGGCTCTTTCTTTCGACTCCTTTACACATCATGGGCTACTTGGGGGGGGTTGATTGTGCAAGTGAACAATGGGATACTGTGAGGGGAATGGGAGAGCTGAAGCCAAAGTAAGAAGAGCTCTTGGGATGTATTAAGCCAAGTAGGGTACACATTTGACTTGGTGGGGTGGGGGGAAAGCATAGCCATATCTCTTAACCACCAGAGCTGTATAATGGGGCTCAATAAAAACAAGGCAGATGTAATTATGCAATACAAATTATATTTTCTTATTTTTAATAAATTTATAACATTACAATTTCAGGTAAATTTTAAAATTTAGTTTGTGTTAGTTTTAAAATATGCCAAAACAAAGATACTGAATAGAAGGAAAATGAGTATGTTACCCTTTATACGTGAAGTGTTGGCATTCTTGATCCATCAGTAGCAGCACACGTTTTATTTATTTTTAGTTTATTTATTGAGATGGTTGCACCGTGCTCTCACCAGATTCTTCTGCCAGTTTCAAGTATGTGTCTTTCCCTAAGGAACAGATTTCCCCCATTGCAGAGCTAATTCTCCTTCCCCATAACGTACCCACCCATCTTCACTTCTGTCTTACTTCTGGGCTGCCGTTCTCATTTCTGAAAATGTCGGGTAGCAAATCCGCTGCCCAAGGAGTCAGGCAGGTAATGGGAGGGCTGCAGGTGTTGAACTGAGGGTTTACGCAGGGGCCAAGCGGGCAGCTGCCTCTCAGCTCCAGCCCTCATTTCTAATGGGAATACAAGCCTAGGGTGGCAGTTTTTCATAAAACCCCAGAGAGTGGGATTTTTATGTAAAACCTCCCAAGTTTTTGGAAAGAAACCCAAACCACTGTGGGTCATCACAATGAAGTACAGACAGGTTGTGTGCGGGCAGAATCTGGTCCACAGGTTGCTAGTCTGCAGCTGCGTTTTAAAACCGAGCTCAGGGAATTCCCTGGCAGTCCAGTGGTTACGACTTGGTGCTTTCACTGCTGTGGGCCTGGGTTCAATCCCTGGTAGGGAAACTAAGATCCCACAAGCCTCGCAGAGTGGCCAAAAATAAATAAATTTTAAAAACCCAACTCAAATCACATTTCCACAATGCCTCCCTTACCATTCAGCCTTCAGGGGTCTCTGAACTATGCCTCTCTAGTTAGCTTTAAAGATTTGCAGGCTTATTCAATTTTATAATTGTTTAATGTTCACTAGTCTTATACCTCTGAATAGAAGGAAAGCTCCTAGACGGCACATAATAGATGGTCAGTTACTACTTAGTGGTCAGCGGATTAAGCATCTTAGAGCTACGTCAAACTCTTAGGCAGAGACTGCAGGTCAGCTCCTTGAGCATATCTGTAAGAACATAAGAACCCCAAGCCACAAGCCTCAGTTCCTAGCCTTTGCTCTACTACTGTTTGACCTTGGACCTACTTCCTCATCTATGTGTTATAGGTGTGTATTAGTGATTCCTCAATTCCTTTCCAGTTCTAAGTTTCTGTGATCTAGTAATATTTTAAACAACTGAGCTGAGAAAAAGAAGGTATCTTACTGGAACAGTTTAGCCTAAAAGGTCCAGATCACACCATCCAGGTCTGCTCACTAATCAGACAGCCATTGTCATGGGTACAGGGCTGTGTTACATGATGGCAGTGACTTCAGGAAAGTAACAGTAGTGATGTGATGCCTTTTTCTCACTGGTGCCTCTCCAAGAAGGCTAAGTGGTTATGTGTGTCCTTACAGCCACCCTTGCTAGTTCTCTTTCCACCTTGCTATTACCACTTGGGCTTTGGAAGAGAATGTTCAAGAAGAAATGGTGGAAAAAGTACAGTTTACACCCTCCTCAAAGTGGGGGAAGCGCACCAAGTGGACTACAGTTCTGCCCCTTCCTGAAGTCTGAGCTTCAGAAGGTTTGGGGAATTCCAGATTGAGACTGAGAATGTAGTTTCTTCATCTACAAAAACCAGGGGGTGGGAGGGGGGGACAGGAAATTGGAAAAGATAGCTTCCAAAAGCTCCTTCCAGAGCAAACTTCCTCAGAATTTAGTGACTGTAGTAATTTATCAATGTTTTTTCCCATATAACATGCTCTGTACTTTTTTGTTCTGTTGCCTGTAAAATGAACAATTAATGTTGAATTCTGGACATGCAAGAAAATAGTTTTAGGGCCAACATATTTATTTTGTCATAAACACATATCCAGGTCTCCTCTGTACAAAACATTTTCCCAGATGCTTTCTGTATATTACCCATTTGTCCTGCCAGCAATTCTATATGTAGTACAGTTGTCCTACATTTTACAAATAAGGGGATTAGTGACACCTAAAACCTACTGGCTAGAAGAGGCAGATTTGGGACTTAGGACTCTGTTCACTGTATTTATACAATATCTTTTAATATATAACAAATCACATTTATGTTCTGTTGTTCTTTTGATCCAGGTAATAGCCCTGTGAGGTTAGCACAACAGCTCTCATTACTCAAGTTTTATTTTATTTTTGGCTGCGTTGGGTCTTCGTTGCTGCGCGCGGGCTTTCTCTAGTTGTGTCGACGGGCTTCTCATTGCAGTGGCTTCTCTTGTGGAGCATGGGCTCTAGGCGCGCAGGCTTCAGTAGTTGTGGTGCACGGGCTCAGTACCTGTGGCTTGCGGGCCCTAGAGCGCAGGCTCAGTAGTTGTAGTGCCCGGGCTTAGTTGCTCTGCAGCATGTGGGATCTTCCTGGACCAGGGCTCGAACCTGTGTCTCCTGCATTGGCAGGCGGATTCTTAACTGTTGCGCCACCAGGGAAGCCCTCAATTTTTATATATAAGGAAACACTTTACATTTGGGTGATATTTGTAAGGTGCAACTCAAAAATAGATGATTGACAATGGCTGTCTCATTTTCTCTGACACATACTCTAAAAGTTCAAAAGCTAATGTTATTTAGCAAAAACATTTTGACTATAGAAATATCTTGTATCAGTACAAGACAGTAGAAAATAGTGGGTTTATATTATTTTTTCCCATTGCCACATAAATACACAACTGTGTGTGTTTTTTAAATTACTTCCAAATACAAACTTTAAGTACATTAGAGTCATGGATTCACATCCTGACCATGTCACTCACTGGCTATATGACTTTGGGAAATTTCTTGAACCTCGCTGAGGCTGGGTTTCTTCAACACTGAAATGGAGATAGTGACTACTCACAGACCAGGTGTCCCCAGCTTTGCTACCATAGTTAAGAATCTTATTTTGTAGAAGAAGAGAAAGGGAGTAATTTTGGAATTATACTTGGAACTGTGGAATTTAAACACTACTGTGCTAACAGTTTTATTTTGAGGATTTGGGGGGTACAGTGGTTAACAGCACAAACTGGAGCCAGATCATGGGGGTTCAAGTCCTGGTTCCACCATTTACTAACTGTCCACTTTGGGGCATGTTGCTGAATCTCCGTGTGCCTCAATTTCCAAATTTTAACTCGTGACAATAGTTGTTGAGAGAATTAAATAAATGTATACACATAAAACTCAAGACAGTGCCTGGCACATAGTAATGCTCAGTGAGGGCTAGTACTATTATTGGGACAAGCTTAAATGCTAACAGCCACCTTACTTTTTCACCTTTTAATTTTTTTAATTTTTTTTTTTTTTTTTTTTTGCGGTACGCGGGCCTCTCACTGTTGTGGCCTCTCCCATTGCGGAGCACAGGCTCCGGACGCGCAGGCTCAGCGGCCATGGCTCACGGGCCCAGCCGCTCCGCGGCATGTGGGATCCTCCCTGACCGGGGCATGAACCCGTGTCCCCTGCATCGGCAGGCGGACTCTCAACCACTGCACCACCAGGGAAGCCCCACCTTTTAATTTTTTAAAAAGGCCACAGCGCTTGGTTAGGGGGTGACCAGCCTAAGGATAACCCTGGAGCCAGTGCCATTCTGCCAGAGTCTCTTGTTTATTAAGAAGGGCAAACAAAGCCACTCCCTTCTGCTTCTCCTCCTGCTTTCTCTTCAGACTTTTTCCTTTCCTGCTTCTCTACTCCAAATCTTTCCTGTTAGTCTAATTTTCTTTCTTCCATTATCAGAGTTGAGCTGTTTTCAAAAGCTGTGCTTGTCCCTTTATGCCAAGCTGGGTGCCTTTCTACAGGACCCCCATTTTACTGTCCCATCCTGATTCCCTTGCAGCTCGAAGTATTAACCATTCAAGGGGTGTGTCACAATTAGAAGAAAGATGAATCAATTATAGGGTAACTTTGTTTCTGCCTTTATGTTCCCATGGCCTCTCCAAGTCTTCTCTCAGTACCAGTGTAGCCCGCCCATCATCACCCACCATCAAAGTTCACACCATACAACTCACCAGTTCCTACCTTTGAATTCTTGTGCAGATTCTTTTTCTCTTTTACAACAATTGCATAAAGTTCCTTAAGTCAGCTAATGTGTGTAGTAGTCAACTCCGCTTTGAAGTTGGAAGCACCTTAAGGAGCAAGGGAACTGGCTTCTGGTTATTATTTGTACCTTCCATCTTTTAATGGTCTGTTTCAGTGATGCTTCCAGTTCTTCCTGATTCCAAAGCCCCCTGGTGACATGCTCCTTAGGGAGAGATCTTTAATGTCGTGTTTTCATATCCAAATTCTGAGTTCCTTGTTTTTATCAACAGTGCTCTTATCCTTCCACAGCCCACATTGGAGTTTTCTTGAACTCCTCTTACACTTCCATCCCCTGTACTCAACTATTTGCTAGTTTTCCTTAGTTACACTGATCATTTATCTTCTCCTTTCATTGTGTCTCCTAATTGGATGTTCTTTCCATTATTCAAGGTGTAGCTTAAAATCATTTTTTTTTCTCATTTTAAATATAGCATTGCTATTTTACATGTTGGCATTAAGGACCATTTTTGTTATCTGTATTTATTTTTGAGTAAAAACGAAATTAATAAATGTGATACTCTCCCCACCCAAATTTTTTGTCTGAATTCCATTTAGGAATCTGGGTGCTTGGTAGATATTGAGACATTGGTTGGGTGAATAAATGGATGTACTTCTGGCTGTTGGTACTTTCTACCACACATCGTCATTGGCCATATATGTATGTCTCTCCAGCTGGAATGTAAAATTCCCCCAGGACTTTATTTCATTTCTCTCCCTTGCATGTGACAAGGGTTCCCGAAGTCACTACAAATGCCTCATCTTCCAATATGTGGATGTTTATATGTATGTCTGTTACCTAAAGGTAGGAGTCAAGGCCTCTCCTTCCAGTTTCCTTCTTGAAACTTCCTAAATTTTCTGAACTTGGCCAAGTCTTTTCACCACTCTAAGCTTCAGTTTCTT